GCATATAAGAGGTATCCAGTTAAAAATCGAGAATTCCCAAAGAATTATTTTTAAATTTAAACACAATACATAAATTTTTTATGGTTATTAATTCTTGTAATTAATTAAAATAATTCTTTGGGAACCCAATTTTTCCACTTGGAACTATATCATACTGTATATAACTATATCTGATATGCATCATTACACTTCATTTACTTTGTACTTACACCAAAACATTTCATTTTTAACATTAACTTTTAACTTATTATACTTTTAATACATTACTAATTAGGAAGCTTGCGGAAAGAATGTTGGATGAAGGTTAAGAAAGGAGCTAAGGAGAATTCACAATGCATTTTAGACAATTTAATTAAATCTAATGTTTTTTACAAGTTGAACGCGAGTAAGTAAAAACTACACCCGACTGTCTGTTAGTATTTTAGATACACGGAGGGGTTGATAAAAGTTGGCCTCTTTCCAAAATAGCCCCCAGGGTAAGATAAAGTGGTAGGAGATTGACAGATAACAGTGAAGAAGAGGGTCAACGTAAAAAGATATAAAATAACAACGTTTACGAAATATATGCTTTTTAACGTTTAAAAGATTAACAATTTCAATTATATAGTCGAAACGTAGTTTTGACTTCTTTGATTTTTATGTATATACGGGTATCAAATTTGGAATAAACCCAATGTAGTATATTTTAGATATTTATAAAATACAAAATACAAACAAGATAGTGTGTATTACGAGGGTTTTGATTCTCTAGATTTTTGACACAAGTTCATATTTTTCTGAGTATTTTCATGCTTTCACAGTGAATGCAAACTCGATATTTCCTTATACCTTTGGTTAGCCCGATTGTTAATTGTTTAGCACTATAATATAGGTAGTGAGGATTTTTTACAATTATATTTGCTGAAAATCAAAATTACTGAGATCTTGACTAATGGTTCGAGAGACCCTCCAAAATCACAGGTTTTTAAAAACAGTGTTAGTAATTAACAAAAAATAATCTTTTAAACAAATCATTAAACTTAGTTGTATCATCGATAAAATACACCATACACCAAACCATAATACGCACCGCTACAAATTACTGTATAAATGGCACCTGATTGTATCCCTGTGGAACAGAGAGATTTTTATGATGCAAACATCACAATTAATTGGTCTATCTTGCTAATGGAACTCTGATTTACATCTCCATGTGGACCACTAGGAATGATGAAAACGTTGTTTAAAACACCTGATTTTTTTCTGTTATGGTAATTAACACTATTAAAGTAGTTTTCCAAAAGATTTATTGTAAAATTAAATGAAGATATCGACGAATAGTTGCTTTTGGCATTGTAGGTGTTACAATTTTATAAATTTCTTCATTTTAAAAAGGAATTTCTTAAAAAAATATATGTTTAACATATATTTTAATAGGCCTAGAGTTTAATTTAAATATATGATATTCCGAGAATGACGTATTTTATAATTTGCTAATATTTTAAAACTTTCCTTATGTAATTTTGAAATGTTTAAATATTGTATGCGGTGTAATAGGTTGTAGTTAAATGTATTTAATTAAAATGAACTGTAATTGCTTTTACTTGATGGTTTGATAATGGTGAGGTTGTAGCAAGAAGATTGAAAATAAGATCAAATCAAAAGATTCTTTTTGCCTTAAGTAATGGCAACAATTATTTTATGATTCTTTATTATGGGAGTAACGTTAAAAAGAGATTCTAATCATGAGGCTCTAATCACCCTATTTACTATAGGGAGAGTGTTGTGCCTAAAACGTATAAAATCAACATCAACAATCATATTCGCATCGGCCAAGTCTTAACTAAAGTGACATTTAAAAAAATTAAATGAGATGGAATATAAGTAAAAATACAATTTGACATTGCAAAATGATATATGGTTTTGTATTTTTATCATAACATATTTACATAAAATATTTTCTGGTTCACTAACAAATTTAAAATTTCTTTTGGAGAATGAATGACGAGGGACAATGAAAAACTCGTGATATTTACTTCCAAACGTACATGCTATCAAACCTGTCCGTGCAACCTTTGTTTCCATCTATTTTAATTTCCTCTCAGGGCTAACCCAGCTGATTGAGTGTTTATATTTACTCAAGAGAACCAGAGTCTCAGTCTTTTGTCTCCAATGGTGGTAGAATAAAAAAAAACAATCATACATTGAGTTTTCAGAATTATTTCCCTTAGAATTTTATAAAATGTATTTATAAAACGCTGTAAATAAAACATGTGATTGTAATTTATTCCATTTTTCTCATTTTCTGTTTTTATTTTGTTGTTATTTCGTCACCAACATGGCAACCCATAAGGCCAATATTATTATTTTATTTTTATTTTAAACCAGTTGTGTCTACATTTTTAACATTATTTATCCATTGCCAAAGTCAAATATTACGTTCGAAGATAAATACGTTTTGGAATAAAATATTATAAAATAACATTTTATTTCATATGTTATAGTCTCCAATGTGTTATTATATAATATTATTTCTCATTAAAGTATGAAGCACCGATATGATGCCCAATTTAGGCAAATATCGTTTGCCCAATATGGGTTGAACCGCGACTCATGTGGCTTGATACGATAAAATAAAATCAGAGAGTATTCACAGTTGAATACTCAATTGTGGTATCCTTTTTATAAAATTAGCAAAGACAAATATTTGTTTACATCAATTAAAATGTAATGGCTACTAGTTAAAGTACTAATATTATTAATTCTTTTGCTATGTCTTAATTTAACTCACATACTTATTTTAATTCTTAAAAGTTTTTTTAATATATTTATTTATAGAAACTAATAAAATGTGCAACACATTGCAACACGCAACAATTATCATGTAAGTGTTAATAATAACATTTAACAACAAAATGTAATATATGATAAAACGTTACAGATTGTATTGAAAAAAGCAAGTAAATCAATTTATGTATTATTTTTGCGATACAATTTCATTGAAAGTTTAAATCTACTTTATCCATCCGATGAGAGCCAAGTGATGAGTAAAAATATAGTTAACTTACAGTAGCATAGTAAATTGATAAAATCGATGGCTTTAAGTATCCATAATTGATTAAACATTCCATACAAACACTATTGACATAAATTATAGTTTCGTAAAAGTTATATTTTATTGTTGGCTTGATAAATCTTTCGTCGCATACATATAATTTTCATCCTGTTTGCAATGAAAAGAGACGGTGTAAAACTCGTAAGACAATTAAAATTGTATTAATCGTAATATATTATTTCCTCTCCACAAGTTTGATTACACATGCAGTTTGAAGCCAAATGAACGTACGACGTTGCAGCGACACAAAGACTTCCCTAGAGAGGAATTCTCAGTCTCCAGGTGTTATATTAAAATATGGAAATCCGACGATATCTTCAACTCTGAGAACCCACTTTACAATTGAATGCAAAACTTTATTGCCGATATTTTACGTGCAGCATCAGTAAAATTATATTAACAGTGTTTGGTGGAGTCTGGTGTAAAATCTTGGATTAAATCTTAATGCAAATCATCACTGTGTTTTCTTAGTGTTGGACATTGTGTAAATGTAGTGCTTATATAGTTTTACACTGTGTCACAGGTAACATTTAAGTTTCGAAATTAGTTTTTATTACGTTGATTGTTTTAATTTTTGTGAGCTCTAATAGATAGTTAGAAGGCAAATTAATTTATTCGATCCTTCAAACCCTGATAATCAGTGAGCTAGTTCTATTTATACCCAAGTAGACATTAACTATACTATACGCAGATTTTAATTCAGATAAAATGTTTAACACTGTATAAATTTTTTGTGAGGGCTCAATTATATGGATGACCTAACCTAACAAAATAGATAGTTCGCTAGAGACGCATGCACACTAGTAGGACCATTTAGGTTGACAAACAATGCATTGGAGCCTTTAACACATGATGTGGTTCCACAAATAAATGTACTACACAAGTACAGATCTGCGTATACGCCTTCAAAACCGTTTTGATGAATATGCAAAGGAATATTACGATGCACGAACTTGGGAGTCAATTCTATTTTATAATTGAACCTTGAAGGTTTCATTTGTGTTTGGGTCTGTACTTAGCATCTGTCATTATGTATTAACTAGGGTAATATTTATTTGGAAATTTGTAAGTCTTATGAAATTTTGATAAATTATTTCATTTTCGTCTTGTGATTATCTAAAGCAATTTGGTACAAATGTCTACTACGTTTCTTCAGGAAATGGAATACCGCATAGTCTGCAGGTTTGCTGTGGTGGTTGTACCGTATTAACTATCTCGCATTCATTGTGAGGAATGGCTCTAAAACTATCAACGAGCTGATTTAGCTGAATCACAAAGCATATAGTTCAACTCTTCGCGTTGAGAGAGGAAAATATTATCGTATAAAAAATTTAAATTGTATTATTACGAATAAACAGGAACGCATCATGTTATTTACAAGAAACTACGTAAAACCATTGGAAACTAAAGTAGACATCCCATCTATATGGACCAGCTGTCGCCAATTCTTTATTAAAAATAACGTAGTTGTGTGAGCCAGTCACAGAATGCGCTAATGTCTAAAATTATATTTTATACCTTATTTTTTGTTGCAGACCAGGTTTATAAGTCATAACAGTTGCTATAGCTCACCATTCCCTAAGTTTGACTTAAAAAAAGTTGGTGTAATCGACAGAATTTAGTAATTTAGATCGGCGCAATCTGTAGGTGGCTCACATCAACAACGACGATTTTGATAAAAATCTGGCTACAAATTTAACATGGGGATGGAATTCTTTGTTTGAAGTTCATTGTTGGTGATGGTGAGTTAATGTTGTTCAAAGGTTTATTGTGGACATTTTCCATCACGAAAGTAAAAAACAATACACCACATTGTGTATTGTTTTTTACTTACGGGATGGAATGTCTACAACTACTATACAGTTTCCCCAAACAGGTATATTTGTATTTGAATGGTCTGTTGTAGGTATAGCGTTCCAACCCGAGTTTGCAGAGCCCCTGGAAAACCTGACAGTTGCAGTAGGGAGAGACGCCACCTTTAGGTGCACAGTACAGCACCTGGGCGGATACAGGGTCAGTGGCGTTAAACATAGGGTTTATCATGAAACTACCTAACCTACTTTGTGAAAACGATAATTTCAAATAATATATTTCCCCAACAAATAAGATAGGTGTAAGCAAATTTGTTATTTAATGTTCAAATTGGTCTTTATATTAAACCGCTACACCAGTGTAAAATCCTATTTAACGTAGTTTGAGTATTGAGAAAAGGAATATTCGTTAGTATAGAAATAATTACTACAAGTTATGTTCAAAAACTATTCTAGAACATGGAATTATTTTGACACAAAATGTGGATTATTAGTTTCCTAAAAGAGAAATTTACATTTTCAAACAGGTTCGCAGTGGACCTTTGACCGCTTATTGCTCTAGTTCCTTTCTGCCACTCTGAACGCTTTTACGTGAGTGGTGAAATCGCCTATTTTCATTCAAGAGCAATAAACATTACCGTTATTTATTTCTGAAGAAGTTAACTTAAAACATTAGGAAATTTCCTGATAAAGAACTACTGATGAGAGAATAAACCTCGTTTAACTCAGTTAAGGAGCATATAAAATGTGATGACTCCGTAATATTAAGATTTCTTGCTTCCAGCACATATTGTAATCTATAGTAAATCTATTAGTATTCATCAGCCGCAAATTTTGACTTCAGGTTGGCTGGGTGAAGGCTGACACGAAAGCGATACAAGCAATCCACGATCACGTGATCACTCACAACCCTCGTGTGTCTGTGAGTCACTCGGATCACTCCACGTGGAACCTACATGTCCGCAGTGTACAGGAGGAGGACAGAGGACAGTACATGTGTCAGATCAACACGGACCCCATGAAGAGTCAGGTAGGTGATCATTTACAACCCTCGTGTGTCTGTGTGTCACTCAGATCACTCCACGTGGAACCTACATGTCCGCAGTGTTCAGGAGGAGGACAGAGGACAGTACATGTGTCAGATCAACACGGACCCCATGAAGAGTCAGGTAGGTGATCATTTACAACCCTCGTGTGTCTGTGTGTCACTCAGATCACTCCACGTGGAACCTACATGTCCGCAGTGTTCAGGAGGAGGACAGAGGACAGTACATGTGTCAGATCAACACGGACCCCATGAAGAGTCAGGTAGGTGATCATTTACAACCCTCGTGTGTCTGTGTGTCACTCATATCACTCCACGTGGAACCTACATGTCCGCAGTGTTCAGGAGGAGGACAGAGGACAGTACATGTGTCAGATCAACACGGACCCCATGAAAAGTCAGGTAGGTGATCATTTACAACCCTCGGTGTGTCTGTGTGTCACTCAGATCACTCCACGTGGAACCTACATGTCCGCAGTGTTCAGGAGGAGGACAGAGGACAGTACATGTGTCAGATCAACACGGACCCCATGAAGAGTCAGGTAGGTGATCATTTACAACCCTCGTGTGTCTGTGTGTCACTCAGATCACTCCACGTGGAACCTACATGTCCGCAGTGTTCAGGAGGAGGACAGAGGACAGTACATGTGTCAGATCAACACGGACCCCATGAAGAGTCAGGTAGGTGATCATTTACAACCCTCGTGTGTCTGTGTGTCACTCATATCACTCCACGTGGAACCTACATGTCCGCAGTGTTCAAGAGGAGGACAGAGGACAGTACATGTGTCAGATCAACACGGACCCCATGAAGAGTCAGGTAGGTGATCACTCACAACTCACGTTGGTTACTCCACGTGGAACCTACATGTCCGCAGTGTTCAGGAGGAGGACAGAGGACAGTACATGTGTCAGATCAACACGGACCCCATGAAGAGTCAGGTAGGTGATCATTTACAACCCTCGTGTGTCTGTGTGTCACTCAGATCACTCCACGTGGAACCTACATGTCCGCAGTGTTCAGGAGGAGGACAGAGGACAGTACATGTGTCAGATCAACACGGACCCCATGAAGAGTCAGGTAGGTGATCATTTACAACCCTCGTGTGTCTGTGTGTCACTCAGATCACTCCACGTGGAACCTACATGTCCGCAGTGTTCAGGAGGAGGACAGAGGACAGTACATGTGTCAGATCAACACGGACCCCATGAAGAGTCAGGTAGGTGATCATTTACAACCCTCGTGTGTCTGTGTGTCACTCAGATCACTCCACGTGGAACCTACATGTCCGCAGTGTTCAGGAGGAGGACAGAGGACAGTACATGTGTCAGATCAACACGGACCCCATGAAGAGTCAGGTAGGTGATCATTTACAACCCTCGTGTGTCTGTGTGTCACTCAGATCACTCCACGTGGAACCTACATGTCCGCAGTGTTCAAGAGGAGGACAGAGGACAGTACATGTGTCAGATCAACACGGACCCCATGAAGAGTCAGGTAGGTGATCATTTACAACCCTCGTGTGTCTGTGTGTCACTCAGATCACTCCACGTGGAACCTACATGTCCGCAGTGTTCAAGAGGAGGACAGAGGACAGTACATGTGTCAGATCAACACGGACCCCATGAAAAGTCAGGTAGGTGATCATTTACAACCCTCGGTGTGTCTGTGTGTCACTCAGATCACTCCACGTGGAACCTACATGTCCGCAGTGTTCAAGAGGAGGACAGAGGACAGTACATGTGTCAGATCAACACGGACCCCATGAAGAGTCAGGTAGGTGATCACTCACAACTCACGTTGGTTACTCCACGTGGAACCTACATGTCCGCAGTGTTCAGGAGGAGGACAGAGGACAGTACATGTGTCAGATCAACACGGACCCCATGAAGAGTCAGGTAGGTGATCACTCACAACTCACGTTGGTTACTCCACGTGGAACCTACATGTCCGCAGTGTACAGGAATAGGACAGAGGACAGTACATGTGTCATATATTGGTTCCACTTAACCCACTTGTGGCCACAACTATAGTTCGGCCGCTTAGAAAGCGACCTCCTCCAGTATTGGTTTAGCATTAGCGCGCAGGTCGTTTTCTAAGCGGCCGAACTACAGTCATTTTATGGTCAGGTAGATGTCTTGGCAAAGTTCGCATTTTTTTTTAAGGGTCCAGAACGTTCCTACACGAAGCCAACCGGAAAATCAAATTCTTGAAAATATACAGCTTCAAAAAACATCATTATTATTTATGATAAGATATATAAAGTGTTTTACCTAACCCGCCATATTAATGTTCCCTATCCCTAGCGTGATGTATACAACTTCTTTACTTCAAGAGTGAAGTAAAGTTTCAAAAGCTCGTTCGGTGAAGTAATGAAACCCATTTAAATAACATTGAGTGCTCAATAAAAAATATATATATACCTCTATGGAGCGAAGGACGTTCAACGCTAGCAATCAGCTATGCGCTTGAATTTTATTGTTGTGCTTTAAAGTATTTTCCTAACCTAGCTTTTGTTTGCAAAAGAACGTTTTCTGTTAGAAGATGTGTGAAATGGATAATGAAAAATACTTTTCCTACAGTTACCTAAAAATGTACATGTTCTCTTACTGATTTGAGAAAGCAAAGTGGCCAATTCGCTCACCAGTGAGCCAATGTTAACATTGTCTCACTTTAATTACTTTGTCTCACTCCAGATTTGCAACGTGAAGGCACGAAATAGTGAGCGCGTAACATGCAGACAAGGTCGTATGCGCGCGAAATACTTTGGCAGCATTGGCTGTAAATCAGCTGGTCAGCTGTTGTACTGTTGTATCATTAAATGTCATATTAAAAGTTCACTTCTGAGTAAAAATATGTTACGTTTCTTTACCAATTTATTTGTTTTATGGTAACTGTGGGAAAAATATAATGTGCAACTCGGGTGCAAAGTGCAATTGCTCACTTTGCTCACTAGTTGCACAAATAACTATTACGTAACCCCTTGTATATTGTCGGGTCAGGTAAAATCTTGTACGTTACACGTTACGCAAGAACTCGCTTCCGCTCGTTGCATAACATTCACCTGCGTGATGTAAAAACGCTCTTACTACACTTGTAAGGTAAATGGCTATTACTATATCCAGATGTAGTTGTTCAAACCTGTTCATTTTTAAATATTTAATCTTGACTATCACAACACTGTTATTTGATACAATCTCATATGATGAAAATTGCATCAATATTTACCAAAAGGCCCCGTATTATAATTTTACCTCGTCAACATTTTGTTATAAATGTTACTATGTGAAGGTACTATTAGCTTTATTTCACATGTGATCTTAATTCTTGGGGAAATTAGCGCAGGACGTTTAATTTAAATTTCGAAGAACGTTGGCCCAGACGAACCAGAATCACATTTTCAATTCTTTTCACCACAGGAGACAAAATATGAGGACAAAGGGGAGTTTATTTCTCTGTTTGGTGACTCGCACTGTCAAAGAAATCACCAGATTTCCATATTTTAATATCGCAGCTGCTAACTCCCGCAATGTTTCAATGCCTCTTCTTGACAGTTCATTGAAATTTATCAAAATCTCGAGAACCAGTGGATTGAATTATTTTAGCTTTCTCCCGTCCAAGTGTTTAAAGCTGTGTGTGTATAAAAAAAAATGTGAATATAATGTGGCCACATTATCATCAAATAAAAATAAGGATTTTATAAATTGAATATCTAATACAAATATTTAATCTAATGCTGATATCAATTTCAAGGATACAATCGTGTTTTAGCTTTATACTATATGAGTGTTTACATTAAGAGCAAAATTTGATAAGTCCGAGATAAATCATTGGTTCAACCACGTTTATTGGTTACCTAATGATTCTATTGTTGGTAATTACTATTTGGAATATAAATTTCTATAACATGATTAGCATTATGAATCGTGTCTTAAATTAATACATTCCTAAAAAAGCAATGACAAAAACACAACATTTATATTTTGACATACGTTCAAAGGGTGGGTCTAAGGTAAACAATCTAGGGAAATGCTCCCAACAAGTCATTAGGGGTTCTTATGCGCATGCGCCACTCTAACCAACACGATCCACACAAAACATGATATAGATTCAGTTAACCTAAAAATAGTACGAATACAAACCTTAGACATGACAAATATGTTAAACATTAGGCCTGAATGTTTGTAAGCCTGTCTAACATGAGTATCGTTGCCAGATGGGGCACCTGGACGTAGTGGTTCCGCCAGACTTTGTCAACGAGGAGACCTCCAGTGACGTCATGGTGCCTGAGGGAGGAACTGCCAAGTTGACGTGCAAAGCCCGAGGATATCCAACACCTCATGTTACCTGGAGAAGGGAAGACAACGGCGAGATCGTCGTCAAAGAGGCTGGAGGAAAGACCAAAGGTACGTTACAAACTTTAAGTATTAATTTCTGATCGGTGTAAGTAATTGTATTGACCACGAATGAATGGGTGGGAAGTAAAGAAACTAATCAGTCATCAAACAGTACATACTATGTTTTATATCAAAGTGAAAATATATGTTATACATGTTTTTACCACAGTTTATCAAAAAAGTCATCATGGAAATATATAACCATATTTTCTTTTGAAAATATTATACGTGAATAAATCATTTTACAACACAAATTTAAGCTCTATTTAGTTTGAAACAAATTAAATTAAACATTACACAAAAGTTTGTTTAAAGTTAAGAAATAATGATATAATTAAGTGACACAAGAACCATAGAGTTTGAGGAGCCTTATGTGTTCTAACTGGTAAAAAACGCATCTGTAGACTATTTTGCCTTGTGACATGGACATTGATAAAACTAATTTACATAAAATAAGCTCCTAAATCCAGCGGTTTACATTGGACGAGGCGGTGAAGAACCACCTTATCTGCGTTCTCTCCCCATGGCGAGGCACGGTCAGACTAGTAACATGCAACTAGTAAAACATGCACGAGATCGTTCTTACTGTTTAATATAGTGAAAGTGATTCATAATTTAAGTAAATTGAAGTTTTTACACATCTTTTTCGTGTATAACACTTTGTTTTTTGCGTTTTGGAAAAGTCCTTTTTATAAAGCCAGTTTAACTTAGTGTTACCTGTACATTTCTTCACATTTAAAACAACATTGGTGTATAATTGTGACGCCATTCTTATTTACAGTGACGTCATACCAAGGGGAGGTTCTGAAGCTGCCCAAGATCACGAGGGGTGAGATGGGTGCCTACCTGTGTATAGCCTCTAACGGCATCCCACCCTCTGTAAGCAAGAGAATACTCGTCAACGTGCATTGTGAGTTTTCCTCACTGCAAAATATTTTCAGAAATTTCATTATGTAATTTTTATTTTATTTCTTTAAAATACATAACGTTACTTTCCACCTTTGAAATACTTTAACACTTTATTTCCCTGGCACTTAAAAAATGTAAATTAATTATTAACAGAAAAATGTAAATTTTAGGCCCTAATTAGTATACCATTGGTATACAACTTTAAATTTTGTATGAATTAAAATGTCAACTAATAGACATTTTAAGAATCGCACTTCAAAACTGACTTTTATAATAAAATTTAATTAATCGTGTCTACATTATTTTTTATAGACAATACGTTTACATTTGAAAACATTCAAATCTGGACTACTCTCAACAGTTTCATGTTTAAAAAAAGTCAACTTTGTATACGATTTAGAAATATACAATGTGTCCAAAAAACATTTCAGAACTTAGGGAAATTATTTCTCATACCAAAAGAAAGAAAAAAAGTGATATGAAGGCGTATGTCCGAAAATGAATATTTACCCAACTATCCCTCAATTATTTTGTTACACATAAAAGATCTTTGCTAGGAAAACATTAAAATGGTTCGACATTAAATTTGAAAATGGTGGTAATTTTAATTTGTTTAACCTACTAATAACATTTTAATTTTATGACAAAATGTTAAGAACACTTTTCATTTAGAATTTGATATTCCCTATCAAACAACATCAAGATCAAAACCATCAAATAACGAATAGCTGAAATATCTCAGTTTAAGTTTTAAAATAAGGCTAAACTAGTCATAGTGTACCAGTTTTCATGTACGAAGATCACTTTAGAGGTGGTAAAATAATTAGTATACTTGAAGAGCCGTTGTTTCCCTTTTCCAGTCCATCCAGTGATTCAGGTGCCCAATCAGCTGGTAGGGGCTCCTACTGCCACTGACGTCACTCTAGAGTGCTATGTGGAGGCATCGCCAAAGTCCATCAACTACTGGGTGCGCGACTCTGGTAAGACATAACAAATACTCGCACCTCCAAATTAGATTAATTATACTTGAAACGTACATATATTTATGTTAGGGGGTTCAAAGTCATGAAATAATTAACATGAAATAATAATAGGTTTCGTTGTAAATTGTTCCATAGACTTATCAACACACTGTACCATTGACTTTCATAGACTTCTAATCCCATTGTAAAATTCGAAGCTTGTTTTTTGTGTCTAGTTCATGGTTGGACACTGGGCGCTAGTGTCGATGACATTTTGGTTCTATTATTTTAGAGTAAATTTTATGATTTCCGCTTCCTAGGTTATATAACTAGATGACGAGGTTGTTGTTTATGATCTCATAGTTTGATTAGGTTAAACGAGGTTTTAAATAACTATAATAAACTTTTTTTTAACTTGACCCTAGCGGCAAAGGACAGAACTAACGATATTTGTCTTCGGCTAATACCTAAGGATACATGTACCAGGTATTTTACTCTGTTATTTAACACACTATTGTTTTTTAAATAACAAAGGCTTCTGGAGGATATCAATATCATGCTATTTTCAACTGTTAATTAATTGTTTTGCTACACAATATATAGTACGATTGAAACTGCTTGCCAGGAAGTAAGAATATCTCTACACATACAACTTCTGTAACTAGTGGAAACTTCCAGTTGATAAATGCGTGTAGAGTGCATAAAACACCAACTGCACTTAAATATGTATACAAATATTATAAAAAAACATCCACATCCTGTTTAAAGTTGCCTTGACAAGGTTTTCTCATTCTACCTTGATAAGTGCTACTGTACTTATTGAATGTATATAAAAATTCGTCGAATAACACACATGAATTTACACTTAAATACAAATCAGTAAATGTATACTTAAGACCTAGGCGATGATCAATTTCGATTGGACACTCCAGTCATCTACCGGCCAGATTTTTTATGAACAACTTTTTTATACCAACGTGAACCAATTAAATTGTAGAAGTAAAAGAAAGTGGGCAGATTCCACACCAGGTTCCGCTGGCGACGAGATTCTTGGCCAAGTTTGGGGGCGACAGCTCAAATTAACTGCGACTCCAAGTTGAATATTTACGCTATGCAAATGAGCCGTTATTGTGCGATATTATTGCGCGCTGTTTGCCGGAGCTTTACTTTTAACGGATTTCATTTGCACATTTGAAATATTATCCCGGCGTGCCAGGTTTGGTGGAAGGAGCGAGAAATAACATCTTTGGAAAAGGATTCCAGTCGTGCCGAAACATTGATGGAGAACTAAAGTGGTGTTTTTGTATATTTAAATCATATAGACATATAATTTTTCATCGGTTTAGTGTTATGAATCTGTCGACACATCCGCATGTTTGTCCATACTCTTTTTCATCTTTTGGTCAAACGTACATAACAAACATAATTCCATGAACCGTGCTTACAGACACAATATATTAATTTGAACGGATGGTTGTTTGCCTCTGGGGACCTCAAAACGGAAAAGAAAATCGGTACCGGGCCTAGATTCTACCATGAGACCAACGGGAATAGCTTACTTCCTACATGGGAAATTCGCTAATTTAACTATATAAATTACTTATTCATAAGTTATAAGCTGCAATACAGTGTAAAACCCTGTGTTTTACCTTATGAATAAACTTATAATTACATTATGAATAAAGTTAATAACAGCGTATTAATCAGTGAGAAAGTATTTTTTATAGACATAGTTTTTATGGCAGTTAATGTACTAGGCTATCTAGATAAAAAATATATGTTTAATTTTGAGATCGGTCTGTTGTAGTTGTACGTGTTTCAGGAGAGATGGTGATTTCGAGTGAGAAATACGAAGTTCAGAGTGTCACAAAGTCTTTGTTCGAGGTGAAAATGATCCTCATCATTCGTGGATTCAATAAACCGGTTGGTTAATGCTGTAAAACCTTCTTGTATATTTTTTTTAAAGTCCTACCATGTACATATCTTTATCTTGTTATCCAGATATTTTCTCAAATACAAGTTAGAATTTCGTTTAGTTTGTAATTTAAACATACAACTATTCTTATTTTTAAATTGAGTAAAATTTCCTAATAATCAAAGTCAACTATTTTGTCATTTTACAGGATGTTGGTTCATACCGATGCATTGCCAAAAACTCATTAGGAGAAGTGGAGAGCAATATCAGGCTATATGGTACGTATCGTCATTTAGAAATATTGTACTGAATTTGTAGGTGCCAAATGTACCTCGAAAGCTGAATGTAGTAAAAAAAATATTATATTTTTCCTACAGTTACTATAAAGCATATAAGTAATTATGCCCCCCCCCCCATCGCTATAAACGTTTAAAACAACGTAGTTAAAACTATAAAAAGGACTTCAAAATAATTACTAAGGATGATGGTATACCTAATAAAATATTGGTTTACAGTACTAAGAGATCAAATAGATATTTGATATTTTTAAATGTGCCCAAATCAAATAGCTTATATCCTCGTTACACTCTATACTATAGCTTTAATGTCACAATATTGAAAAAATCCAAGTATTATCAGTTTAGAAGGGTGCAAAGACTGAATCAGCTGCTAGTTTACCGGATGTAGAAGACATATCCGGTAGCGGCCGAAGTCAGCAGAGATAACCTTATTGTTCATTGCACCAGTCTACATCCGGTACTGATAACCACCCTCAAGCCTTGATGACAGTCTGATGACTGTTGATGACTTTTATCAGTAATTTACTCATATCTGGGTCAAAATGCTTCAGTCTATTGGCCCTTTCTGAAGGATTTCGAATTTTTTTTCGTTATTTATTTTTTAAATCTGATTATTCATACCCATATGACGTTTCGACTGGAATAGAGGCTAGAACACACTACGTAAGGAAATTGGGCTCAAACTTTGACGTTCACAAATATTATTTTTCTACAGTCACCCGACAAAGGCTTCCGTGTACATAAAGCCTTACTTTGGCGCACAGTTTTAATTTTGGTGCACACCAGTAATTCCAATCAATTAACACAAAACAGCGTGCTTTGATTATGCACGTAATCCGTGTAGGCTACGCTTGAAAATAAGTTGGCAACACTTGAAGATATTACGACTACGATCAGCTGGTGCAGCGTTTCCCATTCCGTTCAATGTTTGGTTTAACCTGACCTTAAATTGGTTATACGGTGTTTGATAGACTAATTACTTATATGCTTTATAGTAACTGTAGGAAAAATATAATATGTAACATGAGTGCAAACTATCTTTTTTGCCTCTTTGCCCACTAGTTACACATATAACTACTTTCGACGTGTTAATATAGCAATGTGGTTTTTGGAGCCCACATCAACGATCGTTAGGTTAGCGAGGACGAAAATAGCCGTAATATGTTACTCCTGTACAGTGTTGCCACCACGTTGTTGCGATTTTACCCTAAAGGCGGGCTAAAATTACCCTAAATTACCCTAAATCTACTTTGAGTTACCCTTAAAATTACCCTAAATGTTAATATTTGCGTTTAATGCTATAAAACATTGTTAAAATCATATAAATCCTACATAAGATGATTAATTATACTAAATGATAAAATGAAGTTCCAATATCAATCAATTTACGTAAAATTATACTCGGTTCTAAAAAACCACCTGAAAGAAGAACAAAATGTTGATATTGAACAGCTCTATCAACTATCGTAACTTATAACGAAGAATATCGAATCAAGAACTATCAAATTTGTTTAATGTATCGACCCATTACTACTGTTTTTGGACAATCATATCTTTAAAATACAGTACGGTACCACCAAAGCTTTAATCTATAAATAGTAGTAATTTCTTGACACAATTTGTAAAATAATTCAGTTTAATTCAATTCAGCCACTTAATTAAATATCAAACCCAGTAATGAACAATATTTCATATTTTATTAGGCCTATAACGTGTTATAGAATCGAATACATTCTAAAGGTACGTTTTGCTTGGAGCGACAGGTGCGACGGTCGCGCAGCGACTGTCGCCGAGCGGCAGTCGCGGGATGGTAGACTGTTTTGCTTGGAGCGACAACTTCTTTGGCGTCACGAGACGTGGTACCGTCAGTGCACCTAACCTCAAAAGTGCGCACTAAGTATAAAGTCACTAAATAAAATCGATAAATTCACTTAGTAAAACAGGTAAAACTTAACAAATAAAGTATTCCTTATAGGCCTAGTTATTTGTTATAAGAAACATTCCAAAACTGCCATGTCACAAGCCAAAATGTAATAAAATTACTCAATTTCTCCGTAAATTGCAGTACACAAGCATAACTTTAATTGGAAATCAGTGTTATAAACAACCTCCTCACAGAGTGAAAATTATATTTTATTGATTGTATTGTAAATGAAAAAAAAATACCAATTACATTATATACTACATTAATATTTGAATAACCACATTACTTTAATAATTGGCATTTTATATATTTAAATATGACACGCCTGACTTTTAAGCCAATTTGATCAATAACCATTATACAGAGCAATATTTTTTTGAATCACCTAAACGAAAATTTAATTAGAAGTCTTTTAAGTCGACAATCTAAATAACCTAACTTACTAATATATTAAAATAACTTGTAAAATAATAAGACCAAAGAATAAAGGACAACGTCAGGTTTAAACTAACCTGACGTTGTCCTTAATTCTTTGGTCTTTGTAGGAGATATGTTTCAAATCATAAAGCGCGGGGTATTTTGCCACTTCTTCTAATAAACTGTCGTCTTTTTCACCACTAAAATTTAACTTAATCACAGACGTTGGCCGACGCCATATAGCGAAAATAAAAGGTTACCGAACTTGTCAGAATGGTGTACACTATAAAAACAATCAGAAATGTAACTGTCGCTAAGCGACTGTCGCTCCTGACTGGTCTAGGAGCAGTACCCAGCGACTGCAGCTCGCGGCTCTAGCGACAGTAGCTCCAAGCAAAACAGGACTATGCAAAACCCCTTTGATCAGTGTCCCGCGACTGCCGCTCAGCGACCGTCGCACCTGTCGCTTCAGGCAAAACGTACCTTAAAACAGATAATTCCCAACTATTGATAAGACGATAAGAGGGTAACTTTATTATGAAAAATTCATCATAGCAATCGATCTAAACAGATTTGAATCGAAAATCGAATATGATAGTTTGGCCATAGTATGTAATGAACGTTTTTTGCCAAATTTTGAAGTTTTTTTTCATTTTTTTAGTAAAATTTCCATTGTTATGCTAACTTTTAGTTTTACCCTAAAATTACCCTAAATCTACCATTACCCTAAACTTTACCCTAAGACCAGTAAATTACCCTAAAAAAGGGTAATTACCCTAAAAGTGGCAACACTGCTCCTGTATATAAAAACTTGTCACCATCACGACCATTTGCGACAAGTAAATCATTGTATTGACCGAATACTAATTAAGTTTGGACCAAAAATACGAGAATGGAAATGGTAAGGATAATTATCATAAACAAAAAACGTCAGTGGCTTGAATCTTAAAATTATGACACAAAGGCGGTTTTTGACAGTTCCCCCAGAATAATAAAACAAACATGTTTCGATAATAATGTAAACATGTTTAGTTTCGGGACAGTGACGTCATTTGTGTTTATTATCCGACAGTTTATGTTCTAATATTCGTGGGTTGGACATACTGTATTATGAATATTTGAAAGAAATTTACACCAAAATGACTATTATTTATTCTTTAATCTCGAATTGCCTTTGTGTAAAAAAGATGATCATCATATTGTGGAAAAACTGCATAGTTTCCACCAAATATGTTTTTGATTACTGTGGTATATTTTAATGACCATCGTAGGATTAATAATTCAGATAAAAACGTTATTGGCGGTTTCTGAACATGTAAAAGTCTGAAGTATACACGTAATTGAAAACAATTAATTTCCATTTTTCAGTAAAACTACATCCGTTTGAGAAAAGCGGTTCCAACAACGCAGATATAATAGATAACCCAAACCGATGCAATATTTCCATTAACGGTAATACAATACGTATATTGTATATTGTTGTTGCATATTCTACTGACTTATTCCTTGGCATTCAGAAATCCCCGGACCCACGCGGAAGGTGTACCAAGGACCGCCTGACGACGAGGAGGATCAGAATTACGAGGTGTACGGCTCAGCCGAGGAAGAGGGTCAAGACGAAATATCAAACTCAGTTCAGGTAAACATTTTAATTCTTCTATCTGTAGAAGATTACTATTTTAATTTTTTTTGGGGGGGGGGTGGGTGTCACAAAGAACAACTGTGAGAAAAAATCATACACGCAGGAGAATGGGTATTGAAGAATTCCTTCGGAGGCCATAGGACTTTCAAGAGATGTGTGCGCTACGTCACAAATTGGCTTCGTTACCAAAAGCACTGCGAGCCTACTCGGATCATAAAATTTCACTCTGACTCATCCTTTACACATATTTGGGGTAAAACGCACCTAGATGGCGTCCCCATCTAAATTGGTATTCGTATTTATCCACTTTATAAAATAGCCAAACTGGAATAGCGACATACTGTCAGTTTTACCACATTTTTCTGCATTAATTGTCAAAGTATCTTAAAACAAACGAGGAAATATAATTTTTACCCAGCGCACGTGCAAATTAATCATTTAACTACTCTCTATTTGAATAGAAAATGGATGGAATATCTACCCTAGTACATTAGGAAGTAAGGCCTCCTCGGTCACCATCACTAACCCTTCTGGGTGTCCGACCGTGTCGGAATACCAAAAGCCATCTTCAGCGCTGGTGACGCTGGTGACAGGCACTAACTGGTGTACGCTGACAAACGCAGGCTTAGTGTCTGTCACTAGATGGTCACCAGCTTTGAAGATGGCTATCTGCAGCAAAACCCAACGTTAGTAACTAGTAATTCTCCTAGTATTCCGACACGGATGTACCTAGAAGACTTACTTAGTGTTATCTACCCAAGTATTCAAAATGTAATGGTCTATTTAGTATTAATAAGATATTACGTTAATTTAAATTCTATTATCTCCAGGTTGTAGCAGGTTGGGGGGACACTCCTACTTCCTCAGGAGTTCCCTCAAAAGGTACCTTCAACACTGTGCAAGTGTTAGACGGTGCAGCGCCCAGCAGTGCTTCACGGCATGCAGGCACTCTAAACACGATACTCTCTGCGATATATAAAACCCGATTAAGCATTAGAACACGAGCAATCAGTTTCTCCAATACATCTTCTTTGTGGAAGTTAAATGTGTTTTTTGTCAAAACACTTTATTTCCCTGTAACTATTTGCACGAATCTTTTACTCTCGGTTTGTTTTCCAACTCAGACATTGTTTAGTCTCTGACACGAAGTCCGTTTAAGATCACACATGTTTGCTCCATAGTCTCCGGTGATTGCAATAGACTTTAAGAGACTGAGTATTGTTGTTAGTGTAAATTGTTAGAGTTGTAAACTTTGTTTGAGGGAAAGCTATACAAATTGTTTATTTTATTAACTCATAATTGCGCTTATAGTGAATTGTATCCAATTAACAAAAGTATTTTGAGATTCAATTAAAGTTGTACTTGTCAACAAACGAGTATATCCAATTATGTGTTAAAAATATTGATGGGAAAAGAATCACAATAAATAACTAATATTGTACCTATCTAAAGAATACAACTCTACAGTAAACTATCCAATAGAAAATAAACGCGGTTTTAAATTGTCTGGTTTTAATTTTGTTATTAGTAATCCTTACTAATGATGGAGTTAAAAAAGTAGATGTTTTCTCTGAAATTTAAGTAAGAATGATATATGTTTCATACGGTTCTTTTTGCTAATTACACTTTTCAGACATTTAGTTTTTTAGACCTTTAAAAATTCAGATTTTTGTTTAACGAAACATAAAAAAGTGAAAATACAAGTACAACAAAAATTGTTAGTTTTTTTCAACGTTCAATGTAGTTGAAAGTATTAATACAATTATTAATACTATATAGCAATTATGCCAACAAAAAAGTTTGTTATCAATACACACCTTCATAAACTTTTCAGCTTGCCCCTTACCTCATGAGCTTTAACTCCGTAATTACTGTTTGTATTTTCGTATCTTTCTGTAATCCAATAAATGAGCAATACATCAACAAAATCAAAATCCAAATAGTGAAAAGTAATAAATATTCCGGTTCAACATACACATTTAGGTGTTAAATATGTAAGAAATAACTAAATTCTGAGTTAAACACTATCACAAAAATCCATTTAATTCATAATCAAAACAAAAACAATCCATTGTAAACAAGAGTATTTTTAACATGCGATTTGATACATTAAGCAACATTAATTAACACATATGATTTTATATAGTATGTATTAGTAGGCTACAATGTTTTATGATTAACCAGAACGGCAAACAATTACATTCCTTGTAGAATGCATTTAGCCATAATGTAAGATTTAAGTACAACTGAGCATAGCAATGAAACTAAGCCATTGCAAACTCAAAAGCTACATAAACATTTTTTAAGCATTTGTTTCTGATCAAATAATGTCTGGATATCATATAACAAATTTATATAGTAGCTTTTATATGGGATCTGTACATAATCGTTTGTAAGTAAATGTAGTTTTAGTAAGGTGCAAAGTATGATTTCACTTGTTACAATAGCTGATGTAAATATAAAGTTGTGTGCCTAATGTAATGTTACATTTGACAAAATATCAACCTATAAATAGAAAAACGCTTATGTAAATACTATCCAATCGTTAGAGCAGTGTGTCAAGTGCGTTGACAATAATATGCTTATTTTGTTTATTTAAGATGTATCAATAACATATTCTTTTGATTTAACTCGCTACGCTGTTTTCATGGAAACCAGTTATTGTAATAATTATGTAAATAATTTGAAGGTGATATGTTTTTAAAGTCATTATGAATTTATTTCTTAACAACTGTAACATAGGAAACGAAATATTTCAAAATACCTATGAACTGCTATTCACTATCACTTTTGCTAATCTCAATAAGTATTGACTTTCCCCAAGTATGTTTACATGTTAAAGAATGTTTACATGTATTCAAAGTAAACCAGAACAGATGTTAAACTTTTACTCCCTTGAGTTTGATATAGCAGCCCATCTCAGCTTGTAGGACCATTGTACATTTCCCAAGTGTAACCTAAAATACAGGAACCTGATGTGATGTATAATCATTTAAGTTGTACAATTGTTTAGTAGGCTGTGGAAAATTGTTAAGTTGTGTAAACGGTTACGTTTATAAGTTTAGGAGAAGTTTAGAAAATATTTTAAACTAGTAAACTATATTGTAAAAAGTTGAATAAATTAGTTGTTCTATTTGTAAATGTGTTTCTGTTGTACCGAGTTCCAAGGGTGAGGTTTTCAAAAAAAGAAATCAGTACAGAATATTTTAATTTATTCAATAGAGGTGTATTGTTGGTTCCATACTCAACTCTCTCTTATCTTATAATTATTTTACTAAGCATATTAAGCTGTGCGGCAAAGGTAATTAATTTAAAATCACTCATTGTTAAATTTTCGTTTATCATCAATAAATGCCACTTCATTTAGGATCTAAATGTAAGGTAATATTGTAAAAGAGTCTAACAAGGATTCCAGCAAATATTAAATTGAAGACATCTTATCACCATTGATATAAAAAAAGAAGACAAAATTTAATTCTTAAAAACCTATTTACAACCCTTCTTTTTAATTAATCTAATGTTATAACTATAACTTCTAATTCTAAACCGCTTGGATGCAATAGGTTTTGGCAATACAATTTTAATTTCCAAATCGTTTTTAAATTGAAATGGTAGATTTTCCTTGTTGAAATTTATTCAGGTATACAAAGGGAATGTCGTGAAATACATTTTTTGTTCCAAATTTCAGTGCCAAGGCAGAGTGAGATAAGGCGGGGGCAGACGACATCCCGGGGGACAGCTTCGCACCTCATTGCCTTTTTTATCTCTTTCATCTTCATCACATTCCCTTATACTTGTATGGCAAAAATTATCATCCTTTCCCCATAAACTGTTTAAATGGGCATTAATTTTATTTTACTAATAGTTTTACACTAATGTTTATATGTAGTAAGTAGATCAATACACGAATTGCAAATTCGTCTAGATAAATTGTACAGCATTCAAAAAAGTGTGAGATTTGGCAATTTAAATAGTCAAAAAGGTAATACTAGCTTCAATGTAAGTTCATAGAGGATGCTAACGCTGTCAAAGACAAGAACGTTGTCTCAAAAAATCTCAACTCAATAAATGTTTAAATAACACCATTTAAATCAAATGTGAACTACAAAACTCGGCAACACAATTAGATACATTGCATGGTAAACTTAAAAATTGAATACAAAATTACAAATACAATATTAAAATTATCTTTTCTCACAGAACCTCTGATCTGTACTACAATGACTTAAAAAGAAAAGAGTTCGTCTAAAGCAATATTCGTCAACAAATATTCGTCAATTAATAAAAATACCAATTTTTAGAGTTTGATTAATCGTAAAAATTGCAATATATCACTTAGATTTAAAGTTGCTAAATTTATGTGTTCTATTACATTCACAACCTTTATTTTTATAAATCGATAACCTAAGGAACCCAAGTAAACTTTTTAGTCTATAAATCTGTAATAAGCATACTTTTCTCAACCGAACTTCATCATACGACTAACCTTTGCAAACATAAGTTGACTCCGTGAAATTATTAATTAAAAACAAGTAAGTAAAAATATTTGAGTTTTAACTGCATTTACTGTCTTCACAGTTAACTATTGTACAGATAATGTACAGTAGAAGGTAAAGGGAGAAGTTTGTCCAACTTAACTTTACAGACCACAGACCGTCTTATCTCGACTTGGCTGACGATGTGGGCCCCATTGTATCTTTGGCTCGCTCCACAACTCTCTGCTACATCTTCTTTTATTATTTATGATACTGTTCAATTCCACATGGTCATTACGATTGATGCAAAACTAATTTATTAAAAGATAGTCTAATAGATAAACATGTTCTAAATTACTGTATTTTTGCTTCGAAATGTTGTATTGCTTACATTTATTTATGAGGGATAATTCACTAAAGGCACGCTTATTGTTATTATTCTTTAACATCCCGATGGAAATGTTTAACTCACTCGGCCAAAATTAAATAGTTATTACGTTGGGTTTTGTTTAAATGACTACTTAAAAATAGTTGAAAATATCTAAAGCAAATCGTTGCTTAAACATATTTGTTCGTAAACAGCTACAATGATAAAATACTGACTGTAACTGACTATTTGATCTCCGTGCCTAGGACGGGACCACAGCTAGTTTACTAAAGTTTAGCATTATGGTCACCCATATTGGCACACTATTGAAAGCCTTTGATGAAAAGAGATAGTTTTATTATTGAAACCCTTCGCATTTAAATTAGCTACAATCATATAGCGATCTACCATTTGCGAGCTTAATTTACATTTTGTTCAAAAACAAATCAGGTTTTTTTTTCTCAAACATGGAACGTTTCCAGTATTTGAAATTATATTTTTGGATATTAAAATGTTATCATGAAATATATTGCAGTTACAACGTATTTATTTAACTATCCCTCAACTAAGCAATCTTAATAAAATGTGCCGTTTGCATTATTATATTATTATATAATTACTCTACTAATTTATAGCACAAAATATCAATAATACTTAATACTATACTTAATTTTTTTACCAAACAACATTTATTGAGCTACGTGATTTTATTAAAATATACTATCTTAGACATTAAATGTGTTAATTAAAACTGTTAAAGCAATAGATACCACTGAATAATTTTTTACATATTAAATAAACAGTAAACTGTATCACCATACAGTACTAACCAATAAAATGGGTAAATAAACAACTAAACTATATTGTATTAAAATAAATCAACTTGATATTAATCGACAATTGCAAAAACAATTTCAATTAAATCAAAGAAACTCCACTTTGACACAGCTACTGTGTCAGTATTTGTGCCTATACTGACATACTGTACTGTGTCACTAAGTTGTTGGCGTCGCATATTTCAACCAATGATTTAGTAGACAGGAGAGCTGTAGCCAATCACTGCAGTTGTGATACCGAGTGACCAACATGGTTGTATTGACAACTCGCGCACATTAGCTGATTGCCTACCTATCTTCATGTTTACTGCAAATTATGTGACATTTTTCTGTAATGCATATATTGTATATAAATTAATTAAACATCTGCCGTACTATTGGAGAGCTGTACGATTTGTTAAACCCGATTTGGTTTTATAATTTTAGGTTTTTAAAACTAAATATCTAAACATAGTCAGTATACCTAAACCGCTTTAAGTAGGGTGAGTTAATCATAACTTTAGGTGTTTGTATCACTTTTTTCCAGATTATACACTTGTGAAACATGAATACAACAAAAGTCGCTCTTTTAATATGTGGGTTTTAAATACAAATTAGTTTAAATTGTATTTTTATGCAATTTTTACTGTTTAAACATTCATGCCATAAATTATAATGTTGTATTGAATTGTTCGTTTTGAACTTTATGCTTGGTTCGGATTTAATACTATGTACAATAATGTTAAGAATGTAGTATGGTTTTATTATGGATTCGGAAAATCAGTTGAGAATTTAATATGTGATATTGTAATACCAATTGCACACAGGACAAT